CAGTAGTGACGTCGCGGAAGCAGGTGCAGCGGACCGAAATCCGTACTGATGAAGAGAAAAGTGCACCAGGACAACGGTCTTTTGGCTACCGTGAAGAAGCTCGCGAAATCGGAGACGATGAAAAATCTACTTGGAATTCGAGTCTCTCTCTCTCTCTCTCTCTCTCTCTCTCTCTCTCTCTCTCTCTCTCTCTTCCTCTACCATGCGAACAGCGGCGAGAACAAACTAACAACATACTGAATAAGGGAGAAGAGGGCAAATAGTGACAATTTAGCGTCTATGCTATTACCACCGTCAATAGCGAGTAAGTTCTCGAACATCTAATCATCTTTGAAAAAAGCGATTAAACCACTAAGCCAAACATAGCTAAAAGTACAAAAAAGTCAAAAATTTTGGCCTCTGTGAAACAGATAAAACCTGAATCTTACTCAGGTATTTCTATTTAGATTGTTTTGACTCTTGGACCCCTAAATGAGATTCTACCTGTTCAGCGTTGTACGATATGTATTTCTTCTAGTGTGGTCTAACCTCTATACGTATATATCAATTCGTTTATTGTTTTAAATGTTTTAAAAGAAAAAGCAACATCTGGGACAAAGAGTGACAAATTTTAAATAACATTACTTGTTATTCAGTGTTAGTTGAATTGCATTTCTTCCTATTTATTTTGTTGGGTGTAATTTAAAAGCCATTAAACTAGGTTTAAGTACAGAAAATATTAATAAATAATTTGAAAAATCACTTTCCAAAAGAAACTTTCCAACTCACAGAGAGAGAGAGAGAGAGAGAGAGAGAGAGAGAGAGAGAGAGAGAGAGAGAGACTCGAATTCCAAGTAGATTTTTCATCGTCTCCGATTGTTTTTCATAATTGTCACCATTTGCCCCACACTGGGGCAAGTAGTGACAAAATGTAAATTTTATTTTTTATGAAAATTTAGTTATTTCATATGACTTATGGGTCTTGTACTCAAGTTTTTCGTATAATTGAAGCTGAAAAGTATCGTTTTAGTAAAATCCAATCTCGACAACTTGAAAATAGCTTAGACGAGGGAGAAAAAAATCTGTCACTATTTGCCCCACTTTCTCTTACTAATAACATACGAGGTTTGATCAAAAAATACGCGGAATTTTCGTTTTTCTCAAAAAAATTTATTTATTCATCGATATTAATTTTTTCCCCTTCAAAGTACTCCCCATCAGATGTTGGTTACACTTGGTTAAACCAAGTTAAACCTAACGACCTCCGGAAGAGTACGAGCGGAGTTTTCCTTTTCTCTCTTTTAAGTGTAATTCCCGTCAGAAAAGAAAGATAATTAAACCGAGCAGGCATTGGCGGACGTTGCACACTACGGCGAGTGTTACACCAGCGAACACTAGCGAGATCGTGAACTGAGGCGCGCTATAAAATGTGTATGACCGATTGCGGGCTTGGAAAAAGAGTTCATTGTATTTATTAGCTAATCTGCCGCCGACAAGCCAACAAAACACAACAAAACCGCGAATCCATATCACGGATTCTCATTTACAAAGTCGACGTGTCACTGGTCAGCAGCCAGTGACCCGTCGCGGGCGATAAATCTTCGGTCTTCCCCGATAACGATGGAAATTCGTACGATATGTCGTCACCTATTCCATCGATTGTCCGCATTTTCGTGCCGTATCGATTCTATCGGTTCTCCGATCTTCTCGCGACTTCGCGTCGCAGAACTCTTTGTAAAACAGAGTTTTTGGAATAAAACGAAACGAAAAAAAAAGAACGAGACTGGCGACCAACGGACGCGGTTAAAGTTGCCAATTAACTTCGTGCCAGTTCCCTTGTTTCCTTGTCATACAAATCGCCGCACAGTGGGCGATTTGACTATCTTTCGGAGCAAAAATCTGTTCCGTCACAATTTCTTACCAATCGTAATGCACCTGTTCATACTTCACTGCTTGTTCGTGAATTTTTGGCTAAAAACAACATCGTTTGTTATTGTGGTGCAATTGTCATGAATTGTTCTTTTTGCAAATTACTCGTTAGACTTTCAGTTCAAATGACTACTTGCTACAAATTACGGAAACGCTGTTATTTTTTTGTGGTCTACAATAGAAGATGAAAAAACGCCAAAGAATTATGAAAAATTGAAAAAACTTTGTTGTACAAAGTCAATCGTCATAGAACATGATGCAGATATAGCATGAGGTAAAATATAAAGAAATATAAATGAAATCGAGTGGCTACAAAATCCTAAATGCTAAACCCTAAATTTTTAAACCCTACGTCCTTGAATCCTTCAACCTTAAGCACTAAATCCTAAAGCCCGAAACTTTGAAACTGTAAATTCTAAATCTTTAAACATAAAGTTTATGTAACCACTCGATTTCATTTATATTTCTTTATATTTTACTTTATACTGTATCTACATCAAGTTCTATGACGATTGGCTTTGTACAACAAAGTTTTTCCAAATTTTCATACTCTGGCGTTTTTTCATTCTATTGTAAGATTACCAAAAAATAATAACATTTCTGCAATTTATGGCAAGTAGCCATTAGAACTGAAAGTCCAACGAATAATTTGCAAAAAGAATCATTACGATTGGTAAAAAATTGTGATGGATTTTCACCCCGAAATGTAGTCAAATCGCTCACTGTACGCCGCGGCGACAAACACTTGGTCGACGTTCACGAATACTTATGCGCTGGTCTCCAAAAAAGTCGCGCATGAAATATCGGCCTGAGGGGCGTTGTAGGTAGGCCGTAAGGGCCGAAGTAAGGGGAAACTGTAATGCGATATTCGAGTGGTCCGCCGGGACGATTTAGTGTCGTGGAATGAATTAGTCACAACTATGTGACCATCGATGGTTACGGGTGAATATAAGCCCGATTTCGCCCCCGAATAGGATTTTCCACAACTGGATCATCGAATCCTAGTCTTCGTTATTTATGATGACCGTAACGCGACACGCGAGTTTGAGCTCACGTCAATTTGTCATTTACGAACGAACACTCACATTCCCTCCCTCTCTTCTTTCTCTGTCTTTCTAATTTTCTCTTCTTTATAATTGCACAAGCCGTTTGAAGATCCAACGGAGTGTAGCACTCATACGGCGAGTGCCACTGCGTAGGAAGAAAAGAATTATAGTTTATTATTTCAACGCGCAGAACTCTCGACAAATATACTGAGAGAAAAAATGTCTAATATGTATTGTTGTGTTGTGTAATGTTGTTGTACCTGCCGGATTCATGTAATCAACTGATTTTTTTCTGTGTGGCATTCATATTTTACATTTGATTAATCCAACCTGACTTTCTTTTTGGCATGATATTTTTCCTCTCAGTATAGAAAAACACAATAAGTACACGACGGAACGAAGAAAGAGACAGAGGACGGGACGCGAAATATCGGTGGACCAGCATATTTTCACAGGTAAAATTCGATCGCGACTAATTGAATCGTTCCTTTCGGATGCTTGCTATTGTAGAGAATGAGATTGAATGGCAGCCTGATGTAGCCGAGAAAGGTCTCTTGTGTACACACACGCCCACCGATTTCGCGCTTTAACGATATCCACGTGACCATCACGCGCATTGCTGCAGCGGCAGCAACAGCAGCAACAGCAACGCAGGCAGTCCCACCCAGTGCGATTTTAGCGCCGGCGCTCATTTGTTTCTACATTCTGTCGCAGATACGCTCGACGAGAGCGTAAAAAAGGATCGCTGGATCAAAGAACACCGCTTACTTAGGAGGCGACACACCGTCGTCACGAGCGAGCGAGAAGGACTGGCGTCTTGAGAGAACCTTCTGAGACATGCGCGAGGGTCGCTAGACCGTACACCTGCAGCTTAACCTTGGTGACGAAAGATACTAATCCTATGCGCTCGTTTAAACCTATTCTTTTAGCTAAACTAGTATTTTTTGGATCTTGATCTTTCTCAACATAGAGTCATAAATTCGTTCCGCTTTAGTGGCGACAGATGCAACCCGACAAATACAACATAGCTAAAACGAACAGACCTTTTTGTTGTATCTTATTTTCAAATCGTGAATAATGTGTATGGGTTAACATGTTTTTACCACAAGATATAAGAGAGCTAAAAGCATCTGGAACTTTAGTCGGTGACTAAACGCATTTTTTGGTGATGACTTAATAAGCAGATGAAATTAGCGTGGTGTCGAAACAAAAGAAAGGACGTCGAACATATTAGCTGCGTTTAGCAGAGAAAGCTGCTTCGCAACTGTTGTAAAATTCGTGAATCTGATTGGAGTATGCTCTTAATTTTGGTACATGATCCAGGAGCATGTACCAATCAGATTCACGAATTTTACAACAGTTGCCTAACGCAGCCATTGTTATTGCGCTCTGCGACTGCGCGTGTAAAAATCGTACACACCGAGTGCAATTCGCGACGTTATCGCGACAACATTATCCAGCCGACTCTCTTCATTTCATCGCCGGGAACACGAACGACGCGATACTGGACAATCGAAATCGTGAGAATACGCGGCTGATCGCCGCGGATTTCATCGAAACGACCGAATCTCCGTTCATATAACAAAGATTTCTCACTATCCTCAAAATTCCTCAAAATCCTGCAATTGTGAGACCAAAAAGATATTGCACGGAGAAAAGGTTTGGTTGGGTCAACCAGGATTAACTAGAAGTCTTGTTAATTTAAGCTAAATGCTGATAACTTCAACCGGAATTTCTGGGTCGCTCATATTTCATCAGAAATTTGGTTAATTCAATCAAACGTTTTTTTTTCTGTGTGAATATAATTTATTATTTGCATGAATAAATAAGTGTATATCATCAGCTCACCAAGAGCTCGCAGGAAAGTATAGCGTTATCGTGCGATCCGTCTGTTGTTGATAGATCTTCCTATTATTCCTATTCCTATCCCCCGACATATAAAGCGACCGATCCCAGTCACCGTTCAACATTCGAGAAGTCACATGAGAAAAACATGAGAAAAACTGCCTATTAAAGTTATTATAGAAAACGACAAAGAACACTCACGTGTAGTCAAACCTGCTGCATTAGTGAGCTGATGCTGCGCTGGCGTCGTCGCAGGATTAACTGTCTGTCCCCTCGAAGGTGTGACATATTGTGTAGTTAATTGATCATTCGGAGGAGACGCATATGCCCAAGAAACGGCGTCAGTAGCACCAGCAGACGTTCCTGTTTGTTGGCTCGAGTAAGGTGGACTGTAACGAAAACTGGATCGGGAGCCAAAAGGCTGTGACGAGAAGGCTGGCAACGATTGATGAGGCACCGTGGTTGAAGATTTGCTATTGTAATCCTCTGGTATCGATAATCCGGGGCTTAGACCTGCAACCACGATGGAAATAAAGGTGAAGCCTTTAACGGAAATAGAGAAAGGTCATTCGAAGAAAAACATCATTTATTCGCCGCAACTCTTCCTTCCTCTCTGTCTTTCCCACGCTCTTTTTCTCTAGCTTAAGAATTCTTTAGCTCCAAAGACACAATAATGCTCTCTTTCTCTTTCTTTCTTTCTTTAGTATATTATAACGTAAACTAGAATGACTCTTTTTCATTTATTTCCATTTAAATATTTATATCTGCGGTTTTTTTATTTGCACGTTTCGACTCTGGTATCCTACTTTCTTTTCATGACCAAATACTGAGTATGGTAATTGAATCTCAGGATGTAAAACTCTACTCTTTTCTAATAACAATATGTCCAGAGAACACAAATGTCTCACATGTTCGTGGTCTACATATTTATTCTTCCGATTGTGTTCTTCGTCTTATTTACGAAAGAAGCACTAACAGCGGTAAACAGAGGATCAGGTAAGGTTTAGCCGCAACATATGAGTTCTTAAAACTGGTTTCGGGGGTGACCAGTGTGAGACAAGAATATTAGCTTCAAGAATGCTGCGAACGCCAACGACAAGTGTCCGCTTAATACGTTATAAGCGTGTATCCGAGCGAGTCGGTGTAAGCGTTATCGAGTCAATTATCTCGTGACTGATACGTACCCTGAGTGTTCCAAAGCTGTGGCGGCGAAGCCAACTCCGTGGGGCTACTCGTCATGTAGGGAAGGGTGTAAGTTCCTCCTGCGGTCGCCGTTCCGGTGTTCATCCCACTCACGCTGCCCATCGACCGATACAACGACGAACTGTAATACAGAAATAGATCTGTTAGAGAAACAAAAGAGACAACAAGGCTTACTCGATTTTTCGGATTCTAGCAATTGGAAATCACCGAAGAAATCGACAACGGCGGCTCTATCTTTCTCAAGACACAGAAGACAAACCTCTTTTCTCCTTCTTTTGGCATGTTCGAGAGAGACACAAATTACACGCTCGATTATTAAATTCGACTCCGAGTCGTCAATTGCAACGGACTCGTGTGCCTCATGTTTCGCGTGTGGATCACGCCTTGCGAATGAATACGCCCCTACCCATGGGACTTGGATCGCGAGGCGGTTGCGCGAAATGATCGTCCGGATCGACTCGATCGATGCCCTGGAGAGTTGATCTTCGCGTGTCGTTGGTCGATTGTACGCGTGAGCCTGCGTGACGCATCCTCTTCGAGTGGAGTTGTCCGTTGGAACAAGACGACGCGAGATGAAGCCGCTGCACAAAGACTTAAAAATACAATACAGCGGAAATTTCGGCTATTAAGGCCGATCTACATTGGTCGTATCGTAGCGTCGCAAGCGATTCGTCGTGACGGGTCGTCGTTTGGTCGAACCCAAACTTCAACAATTCTACGACACTACGATTGTTACGATCAACCAATCAGCGACGAACTAGAGTCGTATTACTTAAAAATATATATAGCACAAAAAGTAATCATACTCATCATTAAAAGTATATACTTTTGTACAGCTCATTACGATGCTACGATTTTGCGATGTCACGACGTTACGATACGATCAATGTAGATCGACCTTTACAGAAAAGTAAGTCGCTCGACTTCAACCCGACGACGGCGCAAGCGATTCCAGGTCAAAGAAGACAACGATCCTCCGTGGCTGATTCGCGAACACGTGCCCATAATCGGTAAACGGTACATGGGCGACGGGATCAGCGTTCCGTGTCGAGGGAATGTTGGAAATCACCCTCGCGCGTCGAGGAGGGTCCAGGAGGACACGGTGCGACCGCTGTAAATGCGGGCGCGTGCCGGAAGAAGGGAAAGTGCACCCTTTAGATCCGGTCGTCCTCTCTTATCCCTTCTCTCTTCCCCTCCGCTAAGTAACGCTTAAGTGAGAGGTACGACACGGCTACTCCATTATGGAAACTCCATTTAACCGAGGCTGTTTATACCTGCTACGACGAGTAGCCACGATCGTATGGTCTAGACTAGAAGAACGAGCACACAGGGGTTCAAATACAAATTATGACTCTCCATTTGCCGGCGTGTATCTCTTATATTGCACTTTATCGAGAAAGTAGAGGACCTTCCAGCGACATTTTTCGACTATTATTGGTGGTTCGCTTTCCAGGGGAGTTTTGGAAATTTTCAACAATTGCAAGGGAAACATCATACGCGGAAGAAGTATTGCAGGAAAAATTATATTGAGAAATTAGATTTCTTTTATGATGTTTCTTGTAAAGCTGAATTATTTATACTAAAACTGTGCCTAAATTACTACAGAAATAATAGAAATTTGATGATCCAATTGATGTATGATATAAAAAAAATATTCAACCAATTACAATAATTTTGTAGTAGAAACTCAAACATGCATAACATTTTTTTACAAATACATAGTGATCTCGTCAAAATTCTGTATGTTTCAAGATTAGAAGTTTTGTTGTAATTTTTCAACAGAATCTTCCCCGTGCTAATACATATATTGGGAGAAAAGATATCTAAAAAAAGATACTTATTCGGTGGATAATAATAACATGTTTATTTAAATTTAAATTTCTTGTTTAAATAGAATAAACAATTACTTTCGTGAAAAATAACGATTTTAGGGGAAAATATATATTTTCTCGTTTGAAGAAAAATATTCTCTTAATATAAAAATATGTATATAAATGCAAGTGAATATGTTAGTAGTACCCAGCGAATATAAATAGTTTTTATTTCTAAAATATTTGTGCTCTCAGTGTGCAGAACGCGTCTTCTTATATTTATAGAAAAGATTTAAAGTACAGGGGCCAGATCCTCGAAAATATCTTGCATACATTTAGTAAAAAGCTATATGTATATGTAACATTAACTATATCTTTTCACTAATAGCTTTTCGTATGCGAAATATTTTCGAGAATCTGACTCTCTCTTTCCCTTTTATAGTGCACAAGTATTCGATACCTGTACACTATCTTTAATCGTACAAAAAACATTTTTACTGATCTAGTTAGAATCCTAAATGTCACAGTTAAACCTCATCGCTATTTTTTATTTCTGCTAGAAAATTGTAATACATAGAATTTACAGCAACAGTATTCTAACAATATCTACAAGCACAAATTTAGGTGGATATGAGAATTATTCGTTTGTCTCTCGTAGTTAATCTTATTTGTCTACCACAGAGATTTTTAGAAGAAATATGAGCTTGTCTTGTATAAGCTTATTTTACTACACGGAAAAAAAAGATTTGGTTGAATTAACCAAATATCTGGTCGAATATGAACGATTCAGAAATTCCGATTGAAGTAACCCGAATTCTGTTTAAGTTAACAAGATTTTTGGTTAGATTAATCAAACATGTCTGGTTATTTAACTAGACATGTTTGGTTAATCTTACAAAAATCTTAAACAGAATTCGGGTTACTTCAATCGGAATTTCTGGATCGTTCATATTCAACTAGATGTTTGGTTAATTCAATCAAATCTTTTTTTCCGTGTATGAACATACTGGCTTCAATCTTTACAAGTCTTTAATCTTTCACAAATAGGTAAAATGAAAATTCTGTCTTTTCAATTTTCTAATCTTTTTAACCTGAGCTTTAGAACGCTCATGTCTGTGTTCATGAAATACTCAAGCACGTCTCGCCTATTCGTCAAAGAATTTCGAGTTCCACTCCTCAGACAATCGCAATAGGTGTTTTCATTTTAAAATTCTGAATAGGCTACTGCGTCTAGACATGTCTAAACGTAGCGCCACGTAGTTTTGTCGAGAAAGTTGAAAAGTTCCGAGACTAACAAAGGAATCCGCTTGTGAGGATTTCTAGTGGATTAATTAAAACGGGAACCACCCTTTATCTCTGGATGCAGTTGTTACATTTACTTATAAAAAGGCAAAAGTACTTTTAAAGAGATAATATCAAATAAAAATAAAAAAATTCCAATATCGAATTACAATGTGGTCGCAAGCGGTTCCCTTGTAAGGTGTCTCGATAGGCGTTTATCAAGGCTGCTCTCGATCCGCCCTGTCCTACTAATTAATTAACACACAGCACAAGGCCACGGCGCCGACGCGCCCGCGGCATGGCACGCGCGCCCGCTCGCGCACGTGCACTTTATCTCGGACTTTATTAACGTGTTTCAAACAAGGTAAAGAAGCGGACGGCTTAAAACAAACGAAAACCGCTGCTGTACGTTCGCGGTGATGTGATGTCAATACGGATGCGGCCTTGAGCGGCCGCGCGCTGCCCCGGGCACGTTTCTGCGCTCCGGTACGTGTCCGGAGGCACCTTTTGCGGCCGCGCGCCGGCGATGTCGGCGGTCCCGCGCTGCCTCTCACGTGGTATCATCCAAACTCGGCCGGTCCAGAAAGAGATAAACACGCGATAAGCGTGCGATTTCGTCGCGTACGGGAAAAAAGCGCGCGCGACGATGACGAGTCCGCGATGCGACGAATGCCGAGCTAAACAGAGGCAAGTGCGTAAATCGCGCAGAGATATTGACTCACGGAACACCGGAAGAATGGACGTCAGCTCGATACGGACTGCGGGAAATATCGTCATTCGCGTGTAAACGAAATCCTCCATTATCGCCTCCGATGTTTCGCTGATGTCGATTGAAGTATTCGCGGAATTTAAATGACGGCGTACGTGAGCACGCCACGTGGAGACGACGCGGCCGGCACGTGACCCGCTAGCCGAAAACTGCGACTTAATTGCTGAGAAAGCACATCGGCTGGTGCCGCGTTCGTTTTGGCGCTTATAGCGCGTAAGTATCATTTGTCCTTGTTTAGTATTTGATAGAAACATGGATGAAATGATGCTCAGAGCGTTGTAAGCGCCAAAACGAACGCAGCCTATATCGCTGTCGAGTCGAGAAGCGTAGCATAAACACGAAAATCGCGAGCTACCTCCGCGAACTCGACACCTGAACACGCACGATTAGACCGCCACGAGAAACCTGCTTCGGCAATTTTGTATTTACGTAACGTTAGGATAGGTCGGTGCGCGCGGGTGGACTCTTACGTGTGTAAGGGAGAATGAGCTGACTTCGACAACGATCGACGCCAAGAATAGCTTCGACGCGACGCAAAAAAATCGAGTTACGAATCGCGAAATTTCCGCGACGAGAATATTTCAGCGAGTGAAACCTAATTTTTCTCCTTTCTTTTGCTCTCGTAACTTACACTAAGAAAAGAATACTAGAAGATTGATTTGTAAGATATAAAGTTCATTCACAGAAATAAGTTTTTGAGTATCTTTATAGAGAAATTTTTACTCACACAAGTAACTTGTATTTCACAGAAATGAACTTTATACTACATAAATAAATTTTCAAATATTTCTCTCAGTGTACATTGAGAAAAAAATACTTAAAAATTGATTTGGAGAACAAACGAATATTTCACAGAAATAAACCTTACATTCCACAAATAAATCTTCAAGTATTTTTCTCCAAGTATGTTTCGTCCGCGACCGACACGAGAAACACGATTTCAGGTTACGCTTTTCGATGCACGCGCGAGTGCATTTTGCGTTGGCGAATGCAAACACCGGTGAATGAGAGCCGCCTAACGGTTCCAATTGTCTAGGATGTGTCGTACGTCTGACACGAGTTCAATGAGCACGAGGATGCGGCTTAAGTGCATCGGGTAAGTGCCGCGGAACGTCATCCGTCCGATGCAATACGAGCACGACGACGAGAAGAACGACGAAGAACACGGAAAAAAATAATTTGCTGCAGCAGCAAATTAATTTCCTACATATGGACAGTTAAATATAATTCGCTGTGTTAGCTACTTTTTCTTTGTAGCAG